ACTACCAGGATCCGTGATTAATGCACGTTAAGATACAATGTATATTATGTAATGTATGACGTATAGATGTGAATGTAAAGATGCAAAAATACATATACGAATAAGAAAATACAGAAATGGGAATGCAAGATGTGAGATGCAAATGCATGTATGCAAAAGGTGTCATTCCAGAGTGACCATCTTAAAACAACTTTCATCGAACACAAATGTTTCGATACATCAAACAACTTTACATGTAAGGAATAGCTTTAACTCCTAACTTCCATATCTATCTCAAAAGCCAAGTTAACTTCCACTCATGCTCAGGTGTTAAATTGTCAATCTGCTTCAATTCTCTTACAAAGAAAACTAGATTAACCAATTTGTGGGCCACATTGCTTGCTTGGGTAATAGCTTCTTTCGTGACGTTGTCTTCTTCCTCAATCTGATGTGTCAATTCTTGGAGCTGTAGACACTGCTATTAAGTTTTCCTTGTAAGAAAATCTTTGTGGTTATGAAGCTCTCATACAATATCTCTACAATCATCTATAATCTTTGTCAATGCCTTGTTTTTGACCATAATGGCTTATAGCTCAACATCATTTTCATGCTTGTGGCGCTGATATGAAGTTTCTATATTGGCAATGGACATTTTCAACATCTGATTTTCGGCTTGATATCTTCCCAAATCATTAACAGTTGTATTGTCCCTTTTTTGCAATCTGTAAATTATAAGAGAACTTCTTGGCTCGACATTCGTACACCTTGCAATTCTTTCTCCATTGTTCAGCATCGTTTTTTAGTTTAGTGACCTCTGTTGCCTACTCCTCTGAGGTATTTCCTATACCAACAATTTTAAAAGCTTGATTGATCCTTTGAAAACCATCACGCATGGCTTCCATATCTCTACTCAGTTTATCATTTTCACTCCTCAAATAATGAACCTGAGCTTCGTACTTTAGCAAATAATCTTCCTCCTAGATACCCATATTGATACCCTTACCTTTGAACACTTTTGGATTCATCTTAATAGGATACTCAACTACCAAACTAGGTTAACCTTTCATCTCGAACTCCAATATTCCATGATCCAAAAGATGCTAGACTCGATGCTTGAAGGCGATGCAATTCTCAATGGAATGGCCTTGAGCTCTGGCATGATATTCACAATGAACATTGACGTCATACCAATTTGGATATAGAGGTTGCCAAGGTTTCACATAGTATAGGACCACCTCTCGGGCTTCTAACAGCTTATCATATAACTCCTTATATGATATAGGGACATAATCAAAATGAGAGTCACATCTCGACTTGGATTGAACTGGAGTTTTCAGGTTTACTTCCCCTGATGTTGAAAGTATACTCTCAAATATCCACGAGTTTTGACTGCATGGCTTCTTTTCATCTTTCTGGACTTTTACAGTTGTCACCATTTCATTGGGGTCTCCAGACAAATTGTTGATACGAATGGTGATTGTGTGTTATTTTTCAGATTGGCTAGGATCAGCTTATTCTAAAGTAGTCCTTTGTGTATTTGTCATCGTGGGATTGTTTTCCTCGAGCTCTTTCTTTTCTTTTGTAGAAGTCTCTTTTCCTTTGGCCAAAACAACTATTTTATCCATTATATTGGAAATTTGATCTATCATCTCCTTTTATTCTTCGTCAGACATACGATTTTTGGGTGCATAGCTCTCCATTATTCTCGGAGCTTCCTCAAGATGTCATTCCCTAGTTGTGTTATAGTCTACTTAATCATGAAACTCTTTGTCCATCATGAAAACCTTTTTACTCTGATGACCACTCACAAATCAACACCTTTTGATTATGTTATGATCATACGATGCAAGCAAAAAGAAAAGCAACGTAAAAACAAGTCAGTACAAATAAGATAACAATATGACAAGAATGATTATAAAAGCAATAATAGCAAAATAAATAAATTAATAAGCTACTGCAAAACAAGAATGCAAATGCGAATGCAAATGCACAAGGTGTTAATTCCAAAAACGACCACCATAAAACAACCTTCATTTAGACAACAAGGTTTTATTACATCAGGTAGTCAAAATAAACTTGTGATTCTTCATTTCTTCATTTTCTTGAGTCGTACTCTTCATGGAATCTAACATTGCACCCAAAGTTGTCGGTGTATTTTATCACATTTGATGACACTTGATGTCCTTAAATTATTTATGGTTGAATCTTAAGATCTTCATATCTTCGTGACGGGTCTTCTCGTCCTTGGTATGACTGTATCTATCTCTTGAGACAATATCTTGGCCTTTTCCTTTAAAGGAAGTCTTCAACAGCTTCAAACTTCTTCATTCATCAGATGTCTTTCTTCATGGATCATTAGAACATTTTTGGATCTACTGATTTTGACTACATGGCTAAGAATTTCTTGTCTCATTATGAACAGACTTCTTATTTAGTCAATCACTTGCAAATTAACACCTTTGGATGACATGAAGACGCAAATGCAATAAAATCAAAAATAAAATAGACACAGAACAAAAATGGGTTAGTACACATAAGATAAACAACAAGATAGTAAGTACCATAAGCATCAGATAAAACCAACCCTCACAGGTTGACTACCCATACATGGTATGATAAATCCTACCCAAACATGCTTTCTACCCACATACTTTGTTATTAAAAAAAATCATAACCGCATGATTTCTAGTTATCATACATTTATTTGGAAAATAAAATTAAACTAGAAAAATTAAAAGACTCAAAAGAGTTTTTCCTTGTGTACTCTCCTCAAGGGACTCTTAAGGTTTGGGTTAGGCTATACCTAGGTTCGGGTTCTAGGTTCACTATATGTTGGGTTCGGCTATAAAGTAAAAGGTTCTCGAATTATCATTGTCGAAGCCCCCTTGGGCTACAAGACCCTTAATCCTGGCCCATCACAGGCTTTCGGATTGATTTTAATTCAAGGGAACACACCTCTTTATGTCCATACGGAGGTGAAAATCATCACGAGGACCATAAGGCATGAGCTCTAGGAGCGGTCGGCTATGCCATACGGAGGTAAAAACCACACGAAGAGTAGTTTCTCACTCCTACTTAAATCGGAAAAAGTGGGCTTTTAGCTCATGTTATGATAGTGCAAGTGCACAGCATGTGAGTAAAAACAAAAAACAAACACTCACACAACATACAAAACTCATTCCTCAAATATGAAAACACACAATTAATCTTAAAACATTAGCAAACAAGTCAGTACAACTATTTACTGGTTAATCAAATGGAAAACAATAATTTATTTAAAACCAAACAAGGGATCAAAAACCAAATTAGAACGAACTTGTAAATTTCATTTACAAAGACAATTAATTAATCGACTAGCGGCTTGACTCTCTAAAAAAAGTCCCCAGCGGAGTCGTTAAGCTGTTAAAATGATTTTTTATTTAAAAACACATTTTTAAATATATTTTGATTAATTCTTAATTCAAAGTAATGTGATTTTAAAAAAAATCTCTCGCTTCAAAAAATTTTGGATTCCCTTTTAAAAATAAAATAAAATATGTTTCGAGGAATCGCCACCAATCTTTGATTAAGGTGTGATTGTGCACCAAAAAACATATTTTTCATTTTAATAAAAATATTAATTTTAATTAAAATAACAAATTTACAGTATGTGTACCAAAAAATTGAGTTCGGGAGTCGGTTACGCTTGGGGAAAGATTAACACCCCCACAACGACCTAAATCGGTACCTAGTTAATTAATTAATTATATTTAAAATGAAATTTACAAGTTTGAATTTAATATAGTTTAAGATCCCTTAAAACAATACTCTATGAATTTTAGAACGAAACCTGATAATATTTAATTATCGAGAAACAATGACCCCTCATACCTTGAGGCAATCAATTCTTACTCCAAACGAAATAGAGAAATATTATGGTTCCATTGCAATATTCAGATGCACAAAATCAAACAAATTAAATTAAAAAATTACCAATCCTTTTTAGATAGAAAAATGATATTTGATTATTTAAAGACGTCGAGATCGGACCTTAGATAAGCTCTAACGATCTTTTCTCGAAAAATTTAAATAGACGAATATTTATTTTTCTCTCGTTCCCAAATTTTAGGTGCGATCATTTTTTAGGTTTCACTTGTGGGATACGCTTTCATTTTAAAATCATCGGAAGTGACTTTCTTATAAGTCGAGTATTACCCTTAATCCAATTATTTAAAACAAGTAGAGTAATGTTTTACGAGGGCATCGTGCAAATTAACTAAAAATGATGTCATGTGATTCTTAAATTAATCATTCGCATACTCATGTAAACATATCAACATGCAAAAATATATATACAACTAATTAAAGAAGGCAATTACCTAAAAAGGGGCTAAATTAAAAGAAATCTAGATTTAAGTACTTAAATCTAAAAGATAAAGTAATTTGAATTAGTACTAAAATATTTGAAATCTAAATATAAGGATTCAATTTAAAAGATAAAATAATCTACATATGATAAAATCAAAATACAAATTTAATTAATTTTTTAACAAACTAATTAATAAAAAGGCTAATCAATAATATAATTAATATAAGGAGTAAAATATAACAAAAAGTAAATCAAGGATCAAAATTGAAATAGAAACATTTAAATAAGGGACTAAATTAAAACGACCAGAATAATTCAGGGACCTAATTTTAATACAATGAAACAATTCAGCATATTGACCAAATCGAAAGTGAAAGGGAATTAAGCATGCAATTTTAGAATTAGTACAGTGACCTAATTGTAAAAACGCGAACAAGTTCTAGGGTCCTATAGGCAACTTCTCTTATTTGGTTTAAGCTAAAATGTGATGGAAAATAACATAGTGCTTGCACATTTGAAGTAATTCAGAAAATTAAAGCAATCTAGGGACCATTTGGAAAAACTGCGCATAAAGTTAGGGGGCCTAAGATAATATCTCCCTTAATTTTTGATATTTTAGCCTCTTTTCTTTTTTTCTTTTTTTATTTATTTGAAACCCTAGCAGCCACAAAAAAGGCTCTCTCACTCTCTCCTTTCTTCTCTCAAACCGAGAGTTCCAAAGCTCTCTACGCCTGCCACCGTACGTCGGTGGCCAAATCCATCTCCGATCGTCCCCCAATCATTGCTAAAGATGCCGAAGCACTCTCCTCCTTCATCTCTTCTATATTCTTCTCACAGTCGACTCACTCATTTCTCCCCCTTTCTTTTCTCTCGACCAAAACCAACGAGGATCCTAACCTCGACGATTCCCTACTCAGATGAGGGTACCAAGGCTTCTAGAATCTACTGATAAAATCCCAAACGGCTACGGGAAGAAGCCGAAGAGATTCCCATAGCCTTAACACGACTCAGGTAACGAGCCTCACTTCCCTCTCCTCTTCCTTTTTCGTTTGTTTCGGACTTATTTGGTTTACTAAGACTAACCCCGGCCCCTTATCTCCGGCAATGGAGCCCCGAACGACTATGAGACGGAGCCGACGATACTCTATTGACGTTCGCACAACTCAGGTAACTCGACCGTCTCTCTCTATTTTCTGTTTATTTCGAAACTAGAACACACACCCTCATACTGGAAATCGAAAATGAATTAAAAAAGAATATATACCTCAAGAAATTGATATTGCCTTTTCTATTTCTTTCTTTCGTATATGGGAATCCAACCTCCCTTTGTTACAAAGCGATTGGGGTTTATATATTACCCGTCACATTATTTTTAAAAGTAAAATGAAAACTAATCCCCATTCTGATTTTTATGCATTGTCTTCTTCTGTTGCATTTTTTTTTTCTGAGTGCCTCATTGGCTCTGCCATAACCATTTTTTCCAGGGGATACTGTGAGAGCCAATTTGGCATTTTGCTCGTGAGGCTCGATGGGGACCAGTGGTGATGCAACCGTGGCTGTTAGAGGTGTATGGGAGACCAGTGCTGAGCTTCTCACGTGGCCATAGGACCACTGTTGCTGCTGGTGTGGTGGCTGTTCGTGTGAAGGCATGGGGTTTACTGGCGTGGCTTGCTGGAATTGTTTATGGGTTTGTTGGATAAACGGGCCTCAACTAGGTTCGAGTTTTGTGTTAAAGGCTTGGTACATTTGAAATGGGTAGATATAATGAAGCAAATTGTATTTGTACCATTAGAATGGACACTTGGTTTTATGGATTTATTTATTTTTTGCTTAATTGATGTTAATAAGGTAGGTTAGAAATATTTGAGCTCTAAATTCCAACACAATCATGCACGGTCACCTGAACTAAATAAACCCGACTAAGCAAAGGCGTGACCCCACTGCCACTTCGGTTGATTCAACATCGTTACACGAGCAACTTTAAATTAGTCCTTGAATGTCTTCTATTTGACTTGGGATGCTCAGACAAAATCAGGGTATTACACTTCCCTCTGAGATTGTTCCTGCTACTTTGAAGAAACAAACTAGGCCCGATGGTCTCCCCATGGACCCTTCCGTTAGCCACCCACGGTGATAGTTTGGGTTTCGTTTATTTGATTCAATGCAGATGAATTTTTGTTGTTGATTTGATGATTTTTTGTTCTGTTATGAACCAGAGGTCCACTGCGCTTTGGTGATGGTGAGAGGAGATTGGGTGACAGAGATGGGTGCCGTGGAGGTCCACGAGGAGGAGGGCGTGATTTTGGCGACAAGGGAGGTGCTCCTGCCGATTATCAGCCTTCATTCAGGGTAATTTTTCTTTGAATAATGGTGGAACTTTTACATTTTCATATGAACAAAAGTAATGTTTGCTTGAGATTGTTGGCTGTTTCTTTATCATCATTTGGTTCAAATGAATTGTTGGTGATATTCTGATTTTGTGTAAGGTTTATGTTTTTAACAATAATTATTTGAGTTTGTACCATTTGTTTGATTAGGCATCCATTATTGACGTTCATGCATAGGCATCAGTCAATGAGGGCAAAATTGCTCGTGGGGGCGTTGGAGAAAATAATTGGCTCTTATAGGGTCTCGGCAAAATTATTTTTTGAGATAATGTAATCGCTACAGAATAGGGAACCCAATGTGTCTTTCCTATTTTTTACACAGTTGGAATGTCAAAACTGCCAAGACTACCAAAGGAAAAAAGCAAGGGTTGCATTGTGTTCTTGCCGTCTTTCGACGAATATTGTAGCAATCACACTAAATCAAAAAATAATTTCGGCGATACCCTATACTAACCAATAATATTTTTCCACTACCCACACGAGCAAATTTGCATATGGATGAGGTCAGGGATGACCTGGCGGAGCGGTAGTCCTTAAAGTTTCAAATTTCCATGTAATTTAGATGTCTTCGTTGTGTTGTGTTTTCTATTGATGATTCATTTTCGTTCTAAAATTTTAGAAGTTTATCTCCCATAATATAAAATCTTTTGTCCCTAACCGAGGTTGTTTTCCTTGGAAACTGATTTAATTTATTGTGAGCACACAGGGCTCTATTCAAGGCCTGGCTTTGGTCGTGGCGGCTCTGCTGGTGCAGCTGGTCGTGGCGATAGGGTTGTCAGTTAATGTGTATTTGCACTTTTAGTTCATTTAGTTGTACTGGATGGCTGAAATTATCTCTTTTTTGGGAATTTTGTTGAATTAATTTCTTTGATTCGGTTGGATATTTATAAATAATTTTGATCATTCAAGATATTATTGCAGATAAATTACTTGAATACTGCAATTGTGCAGCCCAATTTTGGAAGAAACATGGTGATATTCTTATTATGATTTTTTTAATAGAAACCTAATATTATTTAAAACATGAAATATCTTGAATTACAATAAAGATTTACAATCATAATTATAAATTAAACACATAATTACGACAGTTTCCTATAATTATTGAAACAAAAATTTGAAATTTTAGATCACATAAGGATCATACAATGAAAGAGTAAAAATCTAATTAAGAAACTTAAACAAAGATAGATACAAATAGATCTAATGGTATCTGCAAACAAAAATCTATTGAAAGATCGCTAACAAATCACAAATCAAACTCGAGCGACATGAAAAGTTACCCATAAACGCAAATCAGGTATTCAAATTTAATTCGATGGTCTAAAGCAAGGAAGATCAATAAGATATCAGATAAGTACTATCTTGATCAGTTGTAGCGATGCCAAATAAATCCTTAGAAAAAGATAATTGAAAAACGGTCAAGCGACCGAAAAACATGTTAAAAGGCAGAAGAAGACATGTCGTAAAAGCAGATAAAAACGTACTATATATAGACTTATTAAAATCTGTCGACACTAGTTTTTGTCCGTTTCCATTATTTATTATTATTATTATTACTACTACTATTGCTATTATTATATATATACTATTATTATTATTATTATTATTATTATTATTATTATTATTATTATTACATAACACGAAGCCCAAGTTACAATAAACCTGAAGCCCATTTTCCCAAATCAAAACCCAAGTATAAACCAAACCTGGAGGCCCATTTACAGCAAATTGGGTCAACCCACCAGTAGGCCCAAACAACCTATTTAACCCGATCCAGAACCCAGTAGCTAGGGTTTCCCATACTTTGCCTCCAGCCGCCGCTCTCCACAACCGTTCGATTAAAAGAAAGATCAACAGCCCAGATGTAGCCAGCAGAAGCCCTAGGGTATCATTACCACCCTAGGGCTATTTGGGTCGCCGCCTTCAACTGCTCCAGTTAGCCGATGACACACCACCACCGCCTCAAATAAAAGACTCCAAAAGATAAATGGCAGCCGCACACCTCACCGAAGCCTCATCATTGCAGCCGAGATTTGAGCCCTATAAAAGGACTCGACCAATCACCTGCAAGCAAGGAACATACACGGCAACAACCAACAGAGAGAGCAAAGCCAAATAGAAACACACAACAACAAAACGAGGGAGAGAGATAGACAGAAACAAAAGGGAGAACGAGAGTTATATACAAGCAACGATCCATAGCAGCCAATAATGAATCGAAAGTAGAAACAAAAGTCGAAACACCGAGAGTAAAAGTACAGATCTAGGCCGAATGGAGTCTTTTAGGGCTAAAGGGGTTCGAAATCGGGTAAAGGACATCGAAAGCTTTGATTCGAGGTAACATTCCGATTTTTTGCCACCATGGATGGTGGCCGGCGGTGGTCGAAATAGCCAGCATACTGTGGCCGTCGGTAGTTGGCATCCCTCCGGTGGGAGGTTTTTAGAGAGAAGCTAGAGATAATTCTCTATTTTAGAGAGAGAGAGAGGAAAAGAGAGAAATGAGAAGAAATGGCCTAAATGGTCGATTAAGGGTATATTTATACCCTCCCTAAAACGACATCGTTTAAGGGATGGACTTCTGTGTAATTTGCATATGGGCAAATTCCTCCCGCAGTCCATGTATTCTGTAAGTCTTCCATTTTAGTCCTTAAGTGAAGTTCGCATCTCTATGTTTTGGGTCTTTAATTATTGTTTCTTTTAATTTAATCATTTTGTATTTTATGTTATTATTTTGTTAATATTTTAATTGCCTTGTATACGAAATGTCATATTCTAAATACCTGTCGACACCATTTTTCGCCCGGGCGGGGAAATGACCGATACCGACTCGACGATTTTCTCTTTGAAAATATTTAAAAATGCGAGGAGTCACAACCAATCATTTAAGGTGAGATTGGAACACCATAAAAACCGGGTGATTTTAATAAAACGTTTTATTTTAATAAAATATCGAGTTTTGGGGTCTGCAAAAAATCCAAAAATCAGGTTCGGGAGTCGGTTACGCTTGGGGAAGTATTATCACCCCCACAAACGCCCAAAAATTGGTACCTAGTTGATTACCCTATATTTAAAATCGGAAATTTTGAGTTCGATATTTATTTAATTTAAAAATCATTAAGAATGCAGAGTTTGAAAAGGGTATTCGTTTATTGAGACCGATAGCATTCAACCCCGAGCGTAAATGCGGAAGATCAACTATTGTGTCTAATAACTGAACATTGCCTCGTTTTTAGAAAACATGATGCGATTTTGAAAAGGATGTTAACCTATTTAGGGAATCACCAGTAGTCACCCCCCCTGAGCGTGATCGCTGGAGATATACTATTAATTCCTTAAATAAGTAAATAGTGCCTTAGAATTAAAATAAAATGCAATCAAACAAAATTTTATTTAATCCTAATTAAACTAAAAGTAAATTAAGGTTATTTTCTAACTTAAAGTGTCAAATTATGAAAATTAAAGAACCTAGGAGAGTGAACCTAAATGTAGGCTCTAATATTAATCCTATTTGATTTTAATCAATTATTGAATCGAATAATCGAGATGGTCCCTCGAGCGTTTATGCGAGGGCCGACTCGAATTAGCCCCTAAATTAAAAGACTAGTTTAAAATCTAAGCTAAAATAGAGGCTCTATTTTACCTATTTAATTATGTCAATATTAAAAGTCTAATCGAAGTTCGGAGACTAAACATGTCAAAGAATTAAAATATCGGACCTAAAAGATTTAAAAGTCTAAGGTTATTTTTAAACAAAATAAAATATGATACATAGAGATATTTAAAATAAATAAATAAATACATATATGGATTTTAAAAAAATTAAGGTTAATTTTAACTTTGTTTTACTTTATAAATATATATATTTTCTAAATATGATATTAAACGTATGACATAATATTTATTCTATAATGAAAATGTAAAATATAGTATTTATCATGCTCTACATACAATCTTATGTATATAATAAAGTAATATACAATAATATAAGTAAAATAAATATCTAAAACATAAAACATACTTTAATGGTACAATTAAACAATATATATATATATATATATTCATTAATATCTTAGTGACAAAAATGAGTGAAAAATAATTTTAAGATTATAAACATTAATAAAAACAAATATCATGGCATGAAACAAGAAAATTACATAACAGGAGCACTAGAATTATAATAAAACCATAAATATAGGACTAAAATAGAATAGCATAAACATCAGTACCCTATTTCGAACAAAATAATACATACAATAGAGGACTAAATTAAAATAATACAAAATAAAGTAGCCAATTCGCAAATCATGCAAAATAAAAGAAAATGGTGACCAAAACACAAAAAAGCTAAACTTGAAGGGACCTAAGATACGAATAACCCTAAAAATGACTAAAAACGCAGATCACATTAAACTTAAAGGACCACTAAGGTGATTTAACCTAAAACTAGTGATCTAAATGCAAATCACGTTAAAGGTCTAAGGACCTTAGAATGATTTTCCCCAAAATCTAAAATATAAACACCTTCCCCTTTTCATATTACATTCTGCCCGAGCCCCTTTTTTCACTCTCAACCATGGCTGTCGCTCACCCTAAATACCCAATATCCTCACTGCCCGCTTCACTCACGGTGGCCAACCCACCCTTTGGCCACAACCAACCACCCCTTGCGGTGGTCCAACGACCCTAACTCAACCATGACCAAACTCTCATCCCTTCGACGACGGCGCTACCCCGATGAACGCACAACGACAAGTAACTCTTAACCCCTATCTATTTTATTTATTTTACTTTGTTTTTAAATAACATAGAATTAAAATCAAAATAGATTAGAATCCATTCAAAAAAATTGCTGAAAATGTATTTTGTTTATGTATTTTTATTTCCCGTTTATTCCTCTCTTTTACACTACTATTTGGGTGGGTTAAATACCCATTACAAAGGAAATAAAGACAAACGTAGTGGAGCATAGGTGAGGCGCATATTTCTGCAGGAATCAAGGGGTGATGGGGTTGGTGTTGAAAAAATGGAATGGTGGGTGTAAGTGTTGAAAAATGCGGTGGTGGGTGTTGGTGTTTAAAATAGTGTTTACAGCTACCCCTCTTTGCTCATTGCTATGGAACGGGAATGGAGAAAAGACAATAAAGCACCAGTTTTTTATCTTGGTCTCTTCTTGTCGCTGTGCAAACTCTTCACTGAGAATGTCAATTCTTCTCCTCCTGCGAAATTCATCGGGTCTTTGCTACAAATGAAGTCATATTTGCTTCGTTCTCTTGGTTGAGTCTTCATCTTCAGTTATTCTGGTTATGGGTTATTATCATCCTGGTCTTTCCACTGGAAATGATGATCCTTCTAGCGAGGTATTGATGATTCAACTCTATACGTGATAGATTAACATGTTGATCCAACTCTTTCTGTGATGGAATCGAACAAAACGACGGTGCTGATATATCTCTTTATGTGATAGAATCGAGCAAAAAGTTGATGTCGATCCAACTCCTTCTGTGATGGATTAAAATGTTGATCCATCTCTTTATGTGATGGATTTGAAATGTCGATCCACCTCTTTCTGTGATGGATTTGAATGTCGATCACCTTTTTCTGTGATGGATTTGAACGTCGATTCACCTCTTTCTGTGATGGATTTAAACGTCGATCCACCTCTTTCTGTGATAGATTTGAATGTCGTTCCACCTTTTCTATGATGGATTTGAATGTCGATCCACCTCTTTCTGTGATGGATTTGAATGTCGATCCACCTCATTCTGTGATGGATTTGAAATGTCGATCCACCTCTTTCTGTGATGGATTTGAACGTCGATCCACCTATTTCTGTGATGGATTTGAATGTTGATCCACCTCTTTCTGTGATGGATTTGAATGTCGATCCACTTCCTTCTGTGATGGATTTG